TTTTTTCAGGACTATATCATGGGAGCTCTGTCAGGGAAGACAGTATTACTCGTGACACACCAAGTTGATTTTCTTCCAGCTTTTTCTTCTATCTTGGTTAGCTGCTTTTATTTGTTTATCATTTTCTCATTTCTTTGTCATACACTGTATATCTTTGTCACTGTTTTAAATCTATTTCTCTTGACAGTTGATGTCTGGTGGAGAAATTATAAGAGATAAAACTTACGATGAGCTTCTGTCTTCAAGTCAAGAATTCCAGGACCTTGTAAATGCGCATAAAAACACAACTGAGACTGAGATCCAAGTCAGGACTTCTTCTAGCAGACTACCTATTCAATCCACAGGAGAAATCCAGAGTGAATATGTCAAGGAAAAATCAGGAGTGCCTTCGGGAGAGCAATTGATCAAGCAAGAAGAAAGGGAAATAGGAGATACTGGTCTCAAGCCTTACTTACAGTACTTGAGTCACAATAAGGGCTTTCTATATTTTTCCTTGGCAAGTATGTTTCACATGATGTTCATAATTGGGCAATTCATACAGAACTTCTGGTTGGCTGCTGATATCCAGAATTCTACTGTCAATAGAGTAAAACTGATCACAGTTTACACGCTGATTGGATGTGGCTTGGCAATATTCTTGTTCCTGAGATCATTATATTTGGTTGTCCTGAGTTGTAGCGCATCAGAGTCCATTTTCTCCACACTGCTGAAATCTCTTTTCAGAGCCTCAATGTCCTTTTATGACTCAACACCTCTAGGGAGGATACTCAGCCGGGTAAGAGGTTTAAAAAGCTCAGCACCCTTTCAGAAAAACTCTTACAATCCTTACAATTTTGTTTTTAACCATCATAGGTGTCTTCTGATCTGAGCATCATCGACCTTGAAATAGCTATCAAGTCAGTAATTGCAGTTGGATCAACCATGAATGCCTACTTAATGCTGGCAGTGCTGGGAATTCTTGCCTGGCCAGTTGTGTTTGTTATCATTCCCACAGTTTACCTAAGCATACTCCTTCAGAAATACTATTTTGCTTCTTCAAAGGAGTTGATTCGAATCAATGGAACCACAAAGTCTGTGGAGGCCAGCTACCTTGCTGAATCCATTGCTGGAGCCATGACAATACGAGCTTTTGGGGATCAAGAACGATTCTTTAAAAAGAATCTAGACATTATTGATGCCAATGCATGTCCTTACTTCCATAGCTTTTCCGCAAATGAGTGGTTGATCCAACGCTTGGAGATACTGTGTGCAGTTGTTCTCACATCGTCTGCTCTTGCCCTGACTCTTATTCCTTTGGGAGCATCCTCTTCAGGTTTATTCATCTGTAGTTTTGAGAAAAATATATATCAATAGAATCTCCTCATATTTGGATCAATTATCATCTAACAATTCATAATTTGATGGCAGGTCTCATTGGAATGGCACTGTCATATGGACTTTCTTTAAATGTTTTCCTTGTTACTTCTATCCAATTTCAATGCTTGCTAGAAAATATGGTTATATCTGTAGAAAGACTAGAGCAATACATGCACATCCCCTGTGAAGCTCCAGAAGTAATTGATGATAAAAGACCTGCAGAGGATTGGCCTTTTGTTGGCAAAGTGGAGATCTACAATTTGAAGGTAAGAAGTTAGCAAAGCAGTGCCTTCTCTTTTTTCTCTAATTGTAACTCAAAAATATCACAGAGAATGTCATCAAACAGGTAAGATACCGCCCCAGTTCTCCATTGGTGCTCCAGGGAATAAGCTGCAAAATTGAAGGAGGGAGCAAGGTTGGAATAGTTGGCCGAACTGGTAGTGGGAAGACAACTTTGATCAGTGCACTGTTCCGACTG